GAGAATCCTAGAGGAAGAGCAGATCATCATGCGCTAAGTTCCGTTATGCGTTTCGTTTTAAGTTTCGTTGTAATAAATGTTGCACCAGCTGGCTGACTTTGGTGACGGGTCTGCGAATGAAAAAGGTGGGGAGCGGTGGTGTTGGGGAGCGGTGCATGGATGGTGCTAGCCGGGTGTACCGTGGGTGCTAGGGGAGTGTAGAACAGGAGTAAAATGGGTGCAAAGAGGGTGTAGAACAGGAGTAGAATGGGTGCAAAGAGGGTGTAGAACAGGAGTAAAATGGGTGCAAAGGGGGTGTAGAACAGGAGTAAAATGGGTGCAAAGGGGGTGTACAACAGGAGTAAATGGGTGCAAAGGGGGTGTAGAACAGGAGTAAAATGGGTGCAAGGTGGTGTAGCACAAGAGTAAAAAGAGTGCACATAAGGTGCAAAGGTGGCATAAAGCTGGTTCAGGGGGTGTAAACCCGGTGCAAGTGGGTATGATACGGGTGTCATATAGGCTTACTGGTGGTGTTAAAAGGGTGCAAGAGGGGTGTATGAACGGTGTTCGACAGGTGTACAGGGTGTATGTTTGGTGTTTCGAGAGGGTTAAGATGGTGTTCTTCTGGTCTAAGTAGGGCGTAAAGTGGGTATCGTTTTAGACCACACCCCATTTACACCAAAAAAGGAATCATTTGAGTTTTGAGTGAAACTGGACCTAAATATTATCGGGATTTGGCCTTTGATGGGCTCTGGTGATCTGACATCTGACCTGACCTTAAAAGTGACTGGGGTAATTTGGTCATTATGTTTGACACTCTTTCAAACGCCGCCTACCGCGTGTTGCTACGTGGTCCAGGAGCCGAGTTAGAAGGGATATGGGTGTTCAAACATCCCCCAGGGGCGTGAAAATCCAGGAGCCCCAGCGCGGCTGGCACGGGTTAACATAAGACATTTTACACCATCTTACGGTAAGAAAGTGTAACTGGTGTTGTGAAGTAACTTGGTCACTGGCGCGGTGGTGGGTTGGGGTCGCCGATGGTCGGCTAAACTTTTGCCCTCCCCAAACGGATCGGCTGGATCCGCCCCTGGTCGGCAGCAAAGTCAATGAATGTTTTTTTTTGTGGTTTCGGGTGCCGGTCACTCTAGCTAGGTGGAATGATGATGAATCATTGGCAAAACTTTCAACGTGGTGTCCCGGTTCGAGCCTCATCGGGGCACCGGCTACTTTTCCCAGTTAGGATCTGGTTTGATTTTAGTGGTTGCGAGCCATTTACACGGTTTTATATCTACATGTCGATTGTTGATTGATTGATTCATTCATTCATTCGCTCATTTAATACATGTCGACATTTAGCATACGAATTGACATCCAGGATCAATCCGATCAATCTACCATTTTCATAAGCGTATTGCCTAAATATCATGCATATATGTGGCACAAGACCTATGGTTGCCTCGATACCGTGCCAAATCACGTTTCGCACAATGCAAAATTAAATTATATTCGCTGGGTCTTCCGTGCATTGTGCTTAGCAAAAACAGGAATGCAATTGTTAAGCGACGCAAAATGTGCAATGCAGCAAGTAACCAGACACACCCGCCCAGCCCCCATGGTCCACCAACACGCCCCACACCACTCGCCAGCCCACGCCAACCACCGAGACGAGCCCCTCCCCCGCGCTGGTCTGACGCGACAGCTGGTCTACAAAGCGCTCCACCCGGCGACCCGAGCCGATGTCAAACGGCGTAGGTAGACTGTGCCGCTTCACTCTCGGGTCATGCGGCACAGCCTACCGGTACCAGGCGGCTGCTGCCAATGCTGAGCCATAGGAACCCGGTGGATAAAGAGTAGGGGACCATCAACCTGTACACGACTGTACATACACGACCGCGCCGACCTCACCGACGTAGAACGGCTGACCTACCTGCAGACTCACCTGACGGGACCGGCGAGAGAGTCTGTGCGCGGCATGCTCTGCGACGCCAGTCTCTACAGCACCGCCCTGTGTGAGCTGGAGCGAGAGTTTGGTGACCCGTCCCGTGTGATACACGCCACGATGAAAAGACTGCTCACAGCGCGGCCGGTGAAAGATGGCGACCTGTCAGCGCTGACAGAGCTGTCTCGTGAGCTCCACACCGCGGTGAGCGTCCTACAGTGTCTGCACTACGAGCACGACCTCGCTGCCGCCACGAACGTCACCGCTGTGACTGGGAAGCTACCAGCCTCCCTCGCCTGGAGGTGGGGCGAGCACATGGTGGAAAACGGCATCACTCGTCCGACGCTCGTCGATCTCGACGAATGGCTTCGCCGTCATGTGTCAGCTGGTCGGTTGGCCTTGAACGTGACCACCAAGCAGCTGATGAAGGTCGAGGCTAATGACGCTGAGTGCCTCCCGAGACGCGTGTTTACCACCGCGTCGGCGCGGCCCACGCCGGCGGCTGTAAAGCGGGAGAGGACAGCTGCCATAAAGTCATCAGCGGACGGACACAGTGACTGGTGTACCATGTGTCAGCAAACACACGAGCTCCAGCACTGTGACGAATTTCTCGCGCTGACTGTGAGTGAGAAGGCAGAGTTCGTCGGCAGAAACGGACTGTGCTTGCCTGGGTCGCGATCACATCAGCGCCACGTGTCCCAGTGATGCACGATGTGACGCGGAGCACTGCGGCAGGCGTCATCACACGCTGTTACACAATGGAGGACGAGTGTTTCCGCTGCGCGATTCCGATGATGGTACGCCGTCATCTGCCAAACATGTCGGCACCGCATCGGCCGAGCCTCGCAGTGATATTCTCCTGCAGGTGGTGCCCATCACCGTAAATGGGCCGGCAGGTAGCCGCACCACGAACGCACTCTTCGACCTGGGCAGTCAGGTCACACTGATCACCGACGACCTGTGTGACCGGCTCGGCATCTCGGGGCCCACCGACAAATTGGTGCTGAGTACGCTGAGTGGGACCCAAACGACGACGTCACGACGCGTATCCTTCGCCGTCGAGGCTGTGGGCGGCGACGGCAGGGCACACCGTATACGAAACGCCCAAACGACGCCGACGTTAAACGTGTCAGCCAAGGCCATGGACTGCACAGTAGCAAAGGAAAAATGGCCGCACCTTGCCGACCTGGATCTCCCCAGCGCCACCCACGGCCCAGTGGAGGTGCTCCTGGGAACCGACGTCATCGAACTTATTGTGCCGCGGGAAGTGATCGAGGGACCGACGGGAACGCTGTGCGCCGTGAGGACGCTGTTGGGATGGACGGTGACCGGGCGGGCGTCGGAACGCTCGGTGCTCGATGGTGAACACGTTGTCAATCACGTTCGTGTCAGTGATAAAACGAGTGCAGTCGCTGACTTTCACACCCAGGAATCATCAGAGACGACCCAGTGGTGTCACGCAGCCGAGCCGCAGGGCCCGGCCGACATCTTCAGCAGAGGCGACCCGGGGACGGACCTCGCCCCCGGCGGACTGTGGATACGAGGTCCAGCTGCGCGGTCCGGCCCGGCCGCCCTCTCCGACGACGAGACGAGGGTGACAGCGTGCGTCACCGAGCGAGCGGAGCCGGTCGTAAACGGCAGTGACTTCTCGTCCTGCCTCATGGACTCCGGCGGCCTGCTCAGAGTCGTTGGCCGTCGCTGGAAGCGGAAGAACACGCAGCCGCAGGATCGCTCCTGGCGACGCCGGCGGCGAGAGTGTCTCCCAGCGCACGCTGACCGCACACTGCATGTCGATCATGGACACGACCGAGGTCAGGGTTGGCGAACTAGTGCGACTGACCGATGTAAACGCACGTGGACATTGGTCGGTGAGATGAGCGGAGTGTGTGACCCTGGTGTGGGCGGTCTTATTCCCGCCGTTGACGTGACGACTGATACCGGCCAATACAGGCGGCCTGTCTCTCGTCTCTGCCGTCTCGAGTGCGACGGCGACGAACAGTAAACGGACTCGGAGAGATAATGTGCGGCACGGGGGACGGCTAAAGTGAGTCGTCTACGACCGCACTGTGCCGCCGGCGAGCAGTGTGGAGATCGGAGCGTTTATTAATGCTTCCTGCGCCCGCCATTCGCGGTGTTAACGTGTGTGTGTGCGTGAGAGAGTGAGCCGCTCATTCTGTCCGCTGCGAATGGTCATTTGTGTTGAGTGTTCAGCCATTAGCTATCAGCTGTGAGCCGTGTGACAGTTCTTGGACGCGCTAGTAGTTTACGACCTTAGAGTATAACATAGCAGTGGTAGATTCGTTTATGATACGCACCGTGTTAGCCGGCTATTGTACGTCCGCGTTTGTTCGCTTCGCCGCTTCGGTAACGTAATGTGTGTCGTGTTGTACATTGTGTGATGGGTGTTTGTTGTGTGTCGGCCATGTGACGGCAATGTCACTGCCGCCAATGCCTCTCGGCCCAGCGTGTGTAGTTTACGACATGCGTCAGTGTGTGACGGCACCCGGCTGCCGAAACCGCGCCGTCACCAGTATTATGACTGGGTGATTGTTGGCGGGGATAATGCCTGCCTCAGTCAGACATTGTGTAGTGCGTAATGTGCATTGTATGTGAGTGTATGTATATCGCGCATGTTGAACGGATCGTTACGAGTGTGTGCGTGCGTACGGGGCGCTTGAACGATTGCTCGCTAGGGGTTGGATTTTCCGCGGATGATCGCGAAAAACCGGGCCGGCTATGTTAGCGAGCAAATAGGCATTTTGTATACCTTCGCAAAGACGGCCGGCGCTCGGAGCGCGGCGGTCGGTCCGCCGCGCCACGCCGCTCACATATGTGTCATCTGGCCCCTGTCCTGGTTCTCATGCCCACGTGTTGTGCGTACCACGAGGGCTGAGACGGGACGGGGGCCTGACAGTCTTCGACGGGACTCCACCGGTGCGCGACGGCCCGGTGCACGACGTGGCCGACGTGGCCTTACGTACGACGCGGCCGACGTGGCCCTACGAGAACGATTCAGTGAACCGCATTTGTGACCGCCGTATTTTGTGCATTTTAATCGTTTCCGTTTCATTCAAGAATAGACTTTTTCATATATGAACAATAACTTTATGGTCCTCCGGGTGACGAGAGAGAACGAGTACGAAAACGAGTGAACGATCACGAGCACGCACGAACATTTCCGCATCGAACGGGTGAACTGAACGATTCTCACGAACAGACGCCGTTTGAATTTTGACGACCGGCCCAGTTAGTTTCGGAGATAGGCAGGGGGGCTCTGTAGAGCCCCCCCCCCCCCCACCAGTCACTCGCGTTATGAAAAAATACCCCAGTCATGCGCGGGTTAATTAAGGTTCTTGAATTCGCTACGCAACTTCTTAAGCTAGAAACACCAAATTTGGTAGGTAGGTGGGTCCCCTGATGTTCTCTCCCCTGTGCCAATTTGGTTGCTCTAGGTCAATATTTAGGGGGTTTCGGGGGGTATAAATGTAAAAATTTCGCTAAAAACAGGTCAAAAGTTTTTTTTCGCTTATAACTTTTGATCTAATTAAGATAGAGCAAAAAGAAAAGCACCAGTGAACTCAGCACGTCAAGGCGCGTCGAATGATATACTTTTTAGCTTGCTTAAGTGTACTTAAAGTTTTTCTTAAATTTTAAGTAACCTTTAATTAATTAATTAAGTTCAAGTTAACCAAATTGCAGCATATTGCATATCATTCGATTCGGCTGATCACCAGAAACACAATGATACCATTTTTTAAGCTCTAGCGTCATTATGTGCCAAGTTATTGGCAAAAACGTCATTTGACCTCAGTTGACCTCATTTGACCTGATCCATGGATAAGTACACCAAACAAAGAAGCACCAAGTGACCTGCTGTTAAGTACTGTGGTTTCAAAGCAAAAAAGTGATAGAACGAAGCGGATATCGCCAGTATTTTCCGAATTTAGTATTTTCCCATAGGCTTAACATTACGACATAATGACCTCTAACTGACCTCAGGTCAGTGACCTCAAAAAACCCGAACTATATGTCATACAACTCGGTTAACTTAGCACATCCTGAAAGTTTGAAGGAAATCAGTGCAAAACTGTGAGTTGGACAGGTGCAAAAAGAAAATTGAAATTTGACCATGACCTTGTACCGGTTTTTCTGATTTGGTGACCTGACCCAAGGTCACCTGGATCTGAAATTTTCAGGTCATATGTAAAAAGGCTGCCCCATAGACTGTGTCAAATTTGGCGGCGCTGCGCGCCGCCGTTTTTACGCTATCTTCGAAAAACCTTAGGGGGGGTCGCATCGACCCCCCCTGCCAGGGCGAGGGTTAACACTGCGGCAAATTCCACTGAAGCAAACTAGTGCCGTTTCTCGAATTCATTACAAACAATGATGGAATAATTTATTTACATTTACCTTATCAGCTGAATATCTCACAAAACATCACTTCTTAAACATTTGACAGAATCCTTACGCTAAACTGTTGCTTACCTGTACACTGTACAGGCTAAATACCTACACAAAGTAGATGCAAAGCTTACTTATCGTAAAACAACAATGAGTAAGCTGTAACAAAAGATATGTTTCGCGAATATCCATCACTTTCAGGCCGATTACCCCATTCGTTTTCTTGAATTCATTTACAGTTGATTCATGGAGAGCATGAGACATTTACTCGTAACCGTAACAAAGGCTTGCAAGGCGCCTAACCAGCGTCACAAAGCACATGTATCAAATCAACACACTGCAGACGCACTACAGCTCTATGCAAAAAGCCATATAAGCTACAAATAACTATACAGAAAGACAAATGAATAAGTAACGTCAGGCAGCGATATCCCTCTTCACCGGTCCTTTTTGCCGCCTGATCCAGCCTGATCGTCACATGTTGAGTTGTCGCCCTGTCCAGGGTTCGAGCTTGTGTCAGTCTTGCGTCGTCTCACAGGGTCTGAATCTGTAACCCTTTCCTTCTGGCCGCCATCATTTGATTCGGCTGCCCGTCCCTGTGTCGAGGCTGGGCCTTTCTTGCATGGCTTCGCAACAGAGTCTGTAACTGTGATGGAAGTGTAGCTTATCGGGTCTGGCCCAGTTTTGCTCGAAATCTCGCTCTTCCTCTCCCTTCCACGATGTCCGTTCAGTTTTTCGGAGACTCTAGAGATAGCAACTCCTCGGCAACAACAACAGCCTATGCCACCGAGTACAAAGGACGCAACTATGAGTAGGGCAATGACTTCTCCCACGAGATCTGAATCTTCGCTGCTCCTGACACTAGCCTTGTCATCAGTTTCCTCAGCATCCACAGTGGCATGCGGGTCCTGTTCAGCACTTTCACCTCCGCCGTTCTTGACACCGGCGGTAGCGGGCGTCGTGCTACTTGGCCCCTTGCAGAGCCAGTGGCGATTCAGCTGGGTCTGCATTTGTTTCTGTGTTTGTCCCAGCGGCGCCGTCTCACTGGTGTCGGTCAGCTGTCGGACCCACCTCTCCACGGGACACACGGGCGGCTCCGGGATGCCGACAGACAGATGAACCAACTCCACATTAGTCTCCGGGTCGAATGCCAGCGAACCGTTGTAGGTGTGCTGAACGGTAAGGTTTAATATGTGGATGGAAGGGCTGTCGTTTTCATTCTCTGTCGTTCGTAGTGCCTTCAACGCATGGCCTTGTAGCGTGTCCACAACCATTTTCCGTAGGTAGATTTGGTTAGCCAATACATTTAGTCCCCTGGTCATTATAGATGTGAATTCTGAGCTATATATGTCCAGTTTGGCGGTCCGCAGCTGCAGGCCGTTCGGCTGGAGGAGAGAGACGCTGCAGTTCCTGATGGTGACGGTTGGGATGCTCCCGCAGATGCCGCGGTGCCGAATCACTCCCAGACGGCTGTTGGACACCGACAGCCGGCGGAGGCTGCCGCTGCCGTTGATGCAGCCTTCTCTGACTTCATTCAAGTCAACTCGGTCCATGCTCAAAGCCTGGATGCTTCCACCAAAGCCGTTCCTTCTGCACATCTTGATCTCAACGTCCTTCAGAGTCAGAAACTCTAAAGACGCATTGAATGCCATTGGTTCGATATCCTGTAGTGTTGCATGTTCAATGACTAGGCTGGGTATATGAGGTGAAGACTGGAAGCTGAACGTGTTCTGACTGAGGACCAGTGACGACACGTATCCAATCCTTAGTTTGGCTTCTGTGTCCCAGTGTCCCGAGAAGGCGCCGGCCTCCAGTTTCATATGGCGCACAGAGTCGATGGCAAGAAAGGCGAGTGAGGAGTTGCTGTTCAGCGCCAGTCCATTCGAGAGCACCTTCATCCATTCGATCTGGCGCAGCTCGACTCGGGTCAGGGAGGGCAGGTTCAACAGCGCGTTCTCTGTTATTGTGAGGTTGCGCACTCCGTAGAAGTAGATGGTCTCCACCGACGGCGGGAAGTCTCCGTCACGTAAAACGACCTGAAATGAAAATTGGTATATTTGTCACGTACCCATCAAAATTAGTTTCAATAACAACGCGCACAACACAAAAAAGCATTTGCTTTTATGACTGTTTTTTATACAAACTAACCTAAATTCAAGGGAATATGCTCCTATCATCATCACATCATCACATTTATTTGCATCACACACACAATGTGAGGTGACAAGGTGAGGTGACAGTTATAACAAGTAGCAGTACATATACATTGGGCCAGGTAGGTACATACATTAATGCCTGCAGAACAATGCTAGGCCACGCAAGGACATTCACAAGAGCCAATCATTGGACATTCTAAAACCATTGATAGCATACTTTAGTTCAAGTTGTGCGCCTGTGTGCTTTCATTTGTGACTGTTATGAGCCTAAGAATTTTACGCGAATGAGAGCAAGTGCTGTTGAGCAGGAATTTGATTGTGTCCACAATTCCATCATTCATACAAGAGCCACGAATAAGCTCACCATCAATATTGCCACATGCTATGTTCATTGTAACTTCAAAATTATTATTTCCGAGGCTATGTGTAAAGCTCAAGAATGATCCGTCTAACTCTGAAGGCGTAGTAGCTAGAACAGCAAGGCTGCGAATCATTATCTGCTTAAGCCTATGATCCGAGCGAAACAGATGAGCAAAGCCGCGAAGCGTAAGCGATCGGAGAAGCTCTTGAACCTTAGGAATGCCAAGCGCTGACATTAGGGCAGAATGATGAGCATACACAGGGAGCCCAATGGCTGCCTTTATACTAGAAGATTGAAATAATTCCAGGTTACTTATGTCAGCAGCTCTCAGTGGAGCAACGATGCTCCCAGATGTCAAAGAAGGGGCTACAATCGTGCGCCATAGAAAAGCTTTGTCTAAAGCAGAAATAGCCTTGCTAAACATTCCTGCAGGTGTGAGCCCGTAAAAAGCTCCACGGGCACGTTTTACTCGAGACCGCGCATGCGCTGAGCCACGTAAATCAGTGCTGATGGTCACACCTAGATGCTGTGTTTCAGAGCGGATAGATAACTGCTGACCGGCCAACTGCCACGTAGGCAGCTCAGCTAAATGTTCAGCACCAAAGACAAGGCAATGACTTTTAGTTTTAGACTGATCAGGGTGAGTGAATTCGAGTCTCCAAGTGCTCGCGAACTCCCCCACAATGCTTAAAAGATGGCCAAGACTCATGGAGTTCGTAGAAACAAGCATTATGTCGTCAGCGTAACAGATCGAGGGGATATGATATCCCATTAGTTCAGCCCCAAGTCCACTATGATCAAGAGTCTGTATTAAGGGACGAAAAAATATGTTAGCCAGTACTGGGGAAAGGATGGCCCCCTGCCTCGTTCCACGTTCTAGTGGGAAACTATCGGAACGAATGCCCATAAAGTCAATTTTGGCAGTAAGCTTGCGATACCACGAGAGAAGCAGACACCACGAGCGATTCTCAAGCAGATCAAGAAGACGAAAGAAAAGACCGTCATGCCAAATGCGGTCAAAACACTTTCTGGCGTCTAAATTGGCGACGAATACAGGAGATCCCCTTCTTAGGTGCCACTGGACAGTCTCAGAAAACAAAAGAGAGGCTTCGGCTGTTCCACGCTGTGGAACAAATCCAAACTGTAGATCGTGTGGAACGAACGATGTTTCAATTTCCTCTAAAACCATTACCTCTAACAATTTAGAGAAAGTTGAAATAAGTGAAATTGGTCTATAATTGTCCATATCACTTGGGTCAAGTCCAGTTCTTTTAAGCAAAGGCTTGATGATGCTGGAACAAGAAAATCAAAGCAATGCCAAAACGCGGGGAATTTTCATGATGTCTGGAGCCACACTTTGATATAAAATTATCGTGGTTTGTCGTTTTAGAGCGAATGGATCAAAATTATTTCGATCAAAGTGCACAAAGTTATGTACTTGCGCTAAATGAATAAATTGATATCATACCCGTTTGGCGAAGTGGCAGCGGCAGGCGACGTGCAGGGCGGCCGAGCAGTTGGGCTCCACCTTGCAGCAGCGCGTGTTGCACACCGAGTATCTTTCTTCTGAGGAGCGATATGCCGTGCTGAATACTGCTGCCATCACCAGGTAGACCAACAGCAGCCCCGGGAGGTGGCGACCGGCAGCCATGCCGGATGTTGCACTGAGTGGAAGTGGTCGCAGTTGCCTCTTGGTGCTGGCCGAGCAATGTCTGAGCTTAAACACAGAACTCTGAAAAAGTTGAAACTGAAATTACATACTATAGAATGTATATATATATATATATATATATATATATATATATATATATATATGTAATAGCCGTTTTCACAGCGGCCTAATTGCTTATATGCCTGCTTTGTCATATTATCAGAGAGTATCATCGATTAAAACACTGAAATAAATTCATAAAATGAAGATATTTGCTGTAAGAGAGATTAGGTGCAGAGTTGATCAAATTATATTCATTCGCCGGATAGCCCGTCGTGAAAACGTCTAATAACAACACGAGCATCTACCATGGCCCATGGGTCTTTCTTTTAGAACAGTGATGTTTGAACAGTGGTTTTTGCCAGTTCAGAATGTAGGAACAATCCTACACTGCTGAAACATGAATTACCAGTATAACGCCTTTTGGGGCGACCGACGGAGCGAGCGAGAGGGTGGGCCTTGCACTTGCGAAATTTCGAGGGGTACCTCAAACTGACTTGCGCACGGCATCCTACTAACCGGTCTCTAGCGATGTGCCAAATTTGAGCACAATCGGCCCAGCCGTTCTCGAGATCTGGAAGCGGCACCCTGCACGTGCGCACGTGCAAAGTGGGTCGCAACTGACTTTTGCACGGCACCATACTAGCCGGTCCCCAACTGTGTACCAAACTTGAGCGCAATCGGTCCAGCCGTTCTCGAGATCTGGAAACGACCCCTGCACGTGCGCACGTGCAGCAGCACCCCAACTCTGGCACATGGATATGCATTGCCTAGTGGGTGCCTACCTACATGCCAACTTTCAGCGTAATCGGCCCAGTAGTTACCGAGATATTGCAATTTGCAACAATTACAAAACTGACACCTCTCCGTTTTGCACGTGGCACGCGCATAAGGGGTCACCCACATGCATCGGGAATAGTCCAATACTTGGTAGAAGGAATGAAGCTACCCTACAAAAGTTACTGCATGTAAATCGGTCAAGTGGTTGCTGAGATATGAGCCTCGCAAAAGCGTCCGCACGGCCGGCCGGCCGGCCGGCTGCTCATACTCAGAAATTTCCGTTAATCTAAGGCCGCGTTCCCACTACGACCGTTCAACATCGTAAATTGCGAGAACGGGAGCAAACGGACGAGATCGTTGATCTAGAGACTTTTCTAAAAAAGTTGAGCACTTCCCTAGATCTGGTATACGGGGCAAGATGGGGAAACATCGTGAGACATCGGCAAACGGCTTGGACAAAGCCAATTGAGAGGAGCGTTGATGAAGGAGGGATCGGCACAATAAGCTATTGTAAAAAAAAAGTTCAGAATACCTATAGGTAGTTGACGACTGATGTGGTAAAAGATCCCATGCAACTGAATGAATGATAAAATTAGAAAACCTTTTAAATTTATTAGCGTGTTAAAAGCAAGCGAGCATTAGAAAATATATCAACAATGCGAGCGAAAAGCATTCACAGCTGTGATAACGACAATCTATTGACTTTTGAAGAGAAAATGTGTGCAGTTGATATAACTCATTGTGGTGTTGCTGTGAATACCTTCGGGAAGCTGTAACCGATAAACTGCAAGTTCCGATGATTTCTTAACAGTTTATTATTGTTTATTATAACAGTTTATTACTTTTATCAAGTTGCTCGACACAGTGGAGTTGCCGCAGGAACTAAAGCCTATCGTATTGAGGTTGACCATGCAGCGAGCTCTCAAGTGCTGAATTCAGCAAACTGGCCTACTGGGCTGCGCGTGCGTTCGTGGACTGAGAAGCCGCTGAAGTATAACCGAGCAGCTCCTGCTTCCTCGACAGAAGTCAGCTCTCGTCGGCGTCAGGAAACACGACATCCACAGGAGAGCGCGGACCAGGGTCGCTATGTGCACCCCAGGCCCACTCTATGGAGCCGACAAACCCACGGCTATCATGAGGACGAGCCCGTGAGCTCAGTTAGCTCGCGATCTGCACCTTTCCGTGAGCAGCTGCACAGCCAGTTACATGAAGAGAGCGTATCACGGGATCCTCCTATAAGCCGGCCGACACCAGTCACGGGCACGGGGCAGCGATCTGAGTTGGTTGCTGAACCGCCTAACCCTGTGCACCCCACAACTGTACCGTTCCTCATCGAGGGAATTCGAAGAGAGGCTACCGACAGTCAGGTGCACAGCATGGTCACGCAGCGGGTGACGTCCTTACGCAACCTAACGCAAGTGACTACCTATAGCGAAGCTGTTGCGGGGACTAAGTCTTACCGCATCGACGTTGATTCAAGTGACTCATCTCAAGTCCTGGAGGCGGCTCACTGGCCCTTGGGCCTTAAAGTGAGTCCATTGATCGAGGAAACAGCACAGCATCAGCCATTTCCATCATCGAGCGCTCCAACTGCACCTCGACGCCAGCTGCACCAGTCCCGCCCCAACGGAGGCAGCGGGTTTCGCCAGAGAGGTGGCAGAGTGCCTCAGTACTCAAACAGTGGCAGTCGGCGAGGGGCCCAGCGCAACGAGCGGCCAATCCAGGTTTGGAACTGAGAACATCCCCTTCACCATAGGCACATATAATTGTGAAGGTTTTTTGTCGGCTGTTCCTTACGTCTGCACACTTATCAACCAATGCGATTTATTGTTTCTATGCGAAACTTGGCTAGCCAGTTCAGAACAATGTATGTTGCCTAGGCTGCTTCTTGAACATCGCCAAGGCAATTACTTTTGTGTACAAGAATCAGCCATGGAACACCCGCCTGGTCCCTATGCTGGTAGACGACACGGAGGGGTAGCATTTATTTGTCGCGGTCGCCCTGGGCTGTGCTACCGCCAAGTACTGTGTGAAGATGTAAGGCTATGTGGCGTCACTGTATATGATAATTCGGGTCCTTGTTTGACGGTAATTGGGTGTTATATGCCATTCTGGGACTCGACTGGTGACAGCAAATTACGTTACGCTGAATTGCTAGGCAAACTAGATGCAATTATTACCGCATATCGCTCTGCATCCCCTGTGCTTCTTGTAGGGGATTTTAACTGCGCCTTACCAAGATTGGCCAGTGTTCACAGGCCTAACGGCTGGCAGAATTTGCGTGGTTTCTCACCACTCAGCGCTCTTATGCAGGAGCTACTTGATGATCACCATTTGGTTGTGTCCGAATTCCAGTTTCCTCAGAAACAGTCTGTCACTTATGATAGGGCAGGCGGCTCCTCACACATTGATCACATTGTTGTGCCACAGTGTTTGCTTCCATCTCTAACGAATTGTATGATTCTAAGCTCATCAATTGATAACCTCAGCCCTCACCTCCCAGTCATTGCCAAATTAAGTCTACATTTGCGACTTGCTGCTGTATCTTGCCTTCCAGTTCGCAGATTTGATCCCTCTGTCCTCTCTTATGTCCCTATTTGGAATTCTGAAGAAGCTATTGACCATTATAAAACGTTACTTGCGACTTACTTGGTAGCTTCGCCACAATTAGGCAGCTCTATAGAACTGGATAGATTAGATACATTTATCAGCTCTTGCATTCATGCTGCAGCTCGTGACTCTGGGTGTGCAAAGCCGAGACGTCCTGCTAAAAAATGGTGGAACCCCCGCGTTTCCTCAGCGCGTGATAGAGCCCGGTTTTGGCTTTACCTCTGGCATGAATCTGGTAAGCGGCTATACACGCATGTGCATAACTGCTATCGCGAAGCAAGACGGGCCTACCGGCGCGAGCGGAAGCATGCGTCTCGATCGAAAATTGATCATGAGGCACGGCTGTTACACAAGCTTCGCCGTGGGGAAAGTTTAGGCTCCTTTTGGCGACATGTTAGTAGAGCTCGGAGAGGTGTGACGGTTGCTGAATGCTCCGTAGACGCAGACAGCTTCAGATCCCATTTTTCTCGTATTCATCAGGACAATGTAGCTGAATTGTCACCAAACCAGCACTGGATCCGCGATGCTGTATCTGCTCGTTTAGAGGCTGGGTGCAATGGTGACGAACCTCGTATTGTTACCGCATCGGATGTTTCCCGATTTATATTGCGCCTTAGGCGTAATTCTGCTCCAGGAGCAGACGGAATCACCACAGAGCACCTGCTGTATGGCTCCACGCCTGAACTGCTTGCCATGTTAGCTCACCTCCTTACAGCTTGCTTTGCTAGATTGGATGTCCCTTCATCATTTGCAACCAGCATCATCAAGCCTTTGCTTAAAAGAACTGGACTTGACCCAAGTGATATGGACAATTATAGACCAATTTCACTTATTTCAACTTTCTCTAAATTGTTAGAGATAATGGTTTTAGAGGAAATTGAAACATCGTTCGTTCCACACGATCTACAGTTTGGATTTGTTCCACAGCGTGGAACAGCCGAAGCCTCTCTTTTGTTTTCTGAGACTGTCCAGTGGCACCTAAGAAGGGGATCTCCTGTATTCGTCGCTAATTTAGACGCCAGAAAGTGTTTTGACCGCATTTGGCATGACGGTCTTTTCTATCGTCTTCTTGATCTGCTTGAGAATCGCTCGTGGTGTCTGCTTCTCTCGTGGTATCGCAAGCTTACTGCCAAAATTGACTTTATGGGCATTCGTTCCGACAGTTTCCCACTAGAACGTGGAACGAGGCAAGGGGCCATCCTTTCCCCAGTACTGGCTAACATATTTTTTCGTCCCTTAATACAGACTCTTGATCATAGTGGACTTGGGGCTGAACTAATGGGATATCATGTCCCCTCGATCTGTTACGCTGACGACATAATGCTTGTTTCTACGAACTCCATGAGTCTTGGCCATCTTTTAAGCATTGTGGGGGAGTTCGCGGGCACTTGGAGACTCGAATTCACTCACCCTGATCAGTCTAAAACTAAAAGTCATTGCCTTGTCTTTGGTGCTGAACATTTAGCTGAGCTGCCTACATGGCAGTTGGCCGGTCAGCAGTTATCTATCCGCTCTGAAACACAGCATCTAGGTGTGACCATCAGCACTGATTTACGTGGCTCAGCGCATGCGCGGTCTCGAGTAAGACGTGCCCGTGGAGCTTTTTACGGGCTCACACCTGCAGGAATGTT